TACACATTGATCAGATCTCCCCTCAGTCTTCTCTTTTTCCAGGATGAACAGGCCCAGCTCCCTCAGCCTTTCCTCATAGGAGAGATGATCCAGTCCCCTCATCATCTTTGTAGCACTTTGCTGGACTTGCTCCAGGAGCTCCATATTGTTCTTGTACTGGGGAGCCCAGAACTGGACACAGGACTCCAGGTGAGGCCTCCCCAGGGCTGAGTAGAGGGGCAGGATCAGCTCCCTAGACCTGCTGGCAACACTCTGCCTAATGCAGCCCAGGATACCATTGGCCTTCTTGGCCACAAGGGCACATTGCTGCCTCATGGTCAACTTGTCCACCAGGACTCCCAGGTCCTTCTCTGCAGAGCTGCTTTCCAGCAGGTCAACCCCCCAGCCTGTACTGGTACTGTACTCTCTCTGAATGTCAGCACAGCCTTCTGGTGTATCAGCCACTCCTCCCAGTTTAGTATCATCAGCAAACTTGCTGAGAGTGCACTCTGTGCCTTCATCCAGGTCATCGATGAATACATTGAACAATACTGGACCCAGTATTGACCCCTGGGGGACACTGCTAGCTACAGGCCTCCAACTAGACTCTGCGCCACTGACCACAACCCTCTGAGCTCTGCCATTCAGCCAGTTCTCAGTCCACTCATCCAGCCCTCACTTCCTGAGCTTGCCTATGAGGATGTGATGGGAGACAGTGTCAAAAGCCTTGCTGAAGTCCAGGTCACCAACTCTGTTTTATCACTGTTACATATACTGTAAGTCTTCCCCTCCCCTTTCTCCAGCAGTTATCTCCTTGTTTCACAGAAACCATGAGTTCCTCTATCTTTTAATTTAGTAGTTCCAGGGTTTGTTTTTTATGCTCATGTGCTCATGTGACAACACCTAGGAAGTACACTGATAGTAATTTCAATATTTGTTAAATGCAAAGAGTAAATACATTTCCTTTTCTATCATGAAAAAATACAAAGTAACACAAGGAAAATTATAATCTGTTTTCTAGTATATTTTAGATATGCTTTTTGTTACTTTTATTCTTCATTTGCATACTTGCATAAATATCCTTTTTCAAATAGGTTTGGTGATACGGGTGACAGTTCCAAATAGAGAATACCATCTAATTTTGTGATCTCAATTTCTTTAATGTGGCTCCATTCTTTTCTTTAAATTTAATTTCAGAGTATAACCTTGATACTTGTATTTTAATTTTTTACTATAGACTCACCATCTGTTTTCTAATGGGGCCTTGATTATAGCTGAGAAACTATCACAGAGCAATCTAGGTCTATCACTTTATGGCTTTTCAGCTTCTGGTCAAATGGATTCTACATAAGTCTAACTAGAAGTTCTCATAGCCTGAAAGCAAGACAAGATGTGTAGGTAAAAGTAATAACTTTTATAAGACCACCTAGTATTTCTGAAAATAAGTAGGTGAGTTTTCAAGCACAGAAACCTTTCAGCTCTGAAAAAGAAACTGCACAATTCAGAAATAAATACAGATTGCGAACTGCTTTTACTTTAATTAGACATATGTCAGATCATCTCTGATATCTCAGCCCTGATCCTCAAGGGAGACTTTGAAATCATTTTCAAAAGATGAGTCTAGAAACTAAAATTCAAAATTTCTTGGAATACCAAAAACCATGACATCAAAAGAGATATTGGTTTGATAGCTCATTATAATTTCCTTACGCAACACGAGCTTCTACGTATTCCATAGTCCATGAATTATTTCCTCTTCATTAAGAAGATAGCCATCTGAAGGAAAAGATAGTGGGTAGCTGTTGGCTGAGAGTTTGTAGTCAGGTGGAGAGATAAGTGATTAACTGATAAATATCAAATTAACTTTACTCCTGTCCTTTCTACCCTTTGTGAGATGATGTTTCTGGAGGAAAGAGGCCAATGAGACCAGTCTTCCACACTTAAGGCAATGCACAGTGAGTGCAGATCTTTATGATGTAATGAGTTGCTTCATAACCCTGTTCTGGAAGCTGTCATCTGCTCTACAATGCCAGCCCTTTATCTTCAATACCCCTATCCCAGTGCCCATGAATCTGGCCGTTGTCTTTTTGAATCTAACTACAGCTGACTCCTACCACTCAGTGGGCAATCAGGTTAGGTTGGAAAAAATCTATTAGAGTAATCATAACAGGTGCAGTGCATTCAGGTATATCCTCTGTCTTCACAAGACAACATCACCACCTATGCTGAACATGGCTTTCCCAAACATGTAGTAATCATAGATGACTGTAGCGAGAACACTTGCAGAAGATCTGGCAAGGAGTCAGTGACTGGCAGAATACGTGATAGCAGCCCCAAAGTGTGCTCTCTACACACTGACCGAATTCCCATCAAGGCTGGACATGCATATTCCATGTTGCCAACAATGTCTAGCTGCTTCGCAGCCAGTAGCTACCCAAGGTTAGCGCAGCTGAGATAAGGAAATAGTTCTAGTAGATTTAAGGGGCCCTTAGGATACAACAAGTTGAGTCCTGCCTGGGCATCCAACCCACGCGTCCAGCGGCCTTTCATCAACAACCCCTCCGTGCAGTTCCCGGGGCTCCCTGTGCAGCTTGGAGTGTAAGTCCTTTATTAAATCTATCCTGTTTAACCACTCATGAACCTTGAGTGTCTCTCTTCACCAGTATCCGGCCCTCCCTTTCCCGCCTTGTGGTCACAATAACGTTCACATACCAATCTGCTGCCTGTTCCAGGTAAGGTACGTAAATAGAAAAGACTATTGTTCTGTTACAGTGTAATAAAACATTGGGCCACTTCCTGGATATTAATTATACAGAATGGGTACACAATGCCCACATCTTGTGGAATTTGGTGTTCTTTAGTCCCACGTAGGTGGCAGGACATTGACCACAAGCATATAGATGCAGGGAAACATGCACACCTGTACCAGGTGTTTCAACCATGAGGCTTTTCAACCAAGCCTTTATTAGCTACTTCAGGTACCATAAACTTTGTTCAAGCACTAAAGCATAAGACTGCCTGACCATCAACATTCTGAATGACGCTTATTATCACTACCTGAAGCACAATCTTACCGAGGCCAGGGGAGTAATTTCACCAGGATTTGACTTTGACAGAGCCACCATTCACACAATGCAATAGCATTGGAAAGCATCAGTCTGGTGGATTCAAAGAGGAATGGGCAATCTATAAGGCCATATGTGTGCTCACTGCCTGGCAAAAAAGCGCACCATGCACCAAGTCACAAAACCTGGGGTTGCATGACTGCAAGTGTTGCTTCTTTGCATAGTCTCTTAAAGTGTTTATTTTCCTTCATCTTCTGGCTTGTCATTCCTCTCTCTCCTCCCACAGTACACTCTAGCAGTGTTGCTTCCCCTTCTTCTCCCCCTGGCTTCAGTCCTTGGCCTAACAACATGCAAGACCATGGGACTATACAAGTCTTGAGATCAGACTTGTCTTGGACTAGAGAGCACCAGCACTTTAATACTCCTCAGCATGAAGTTTTTCTTTCTTGAGGACTGTGAACATCTGGCCACTACTAAGAAAAAAGCACGATGGAGGCATCTGTGAAAGCTGGCTATAACCAAACAAGGACTGAGTGGAGGGAATTTCCTTGGTGTCCTCAGAACGAGAAGGGGCTTTAACGATAGGGGAACAGTCCTACAGTTTTTCACATCACAAAGTCAGATCATTCCTACAAAGATGGTATCACGAACAACAAGGGCTCCAGAGCAATCTTTGACCTTGTAGAAAGGGCAAGTATGCCCTGAAGGTTTAGAGGGTTGCTCAGATACTTGGCCTCAGAGTAGATGTTCTTAACTTTTTCATTTTGTCCTTGTGTCGGTTGCTTCTACGTTAATAAGGCACCTTAAGTTCCCCACATAATCACATATATTGGAGGGGATTAACTCCAAAATTGCACACACAATTTCTTCCAGATGTTTAATAACACTGTGGTCTCCTCTGGAGCCCAGGTAATCTTCCTCTGTACATTGCTGCTGGTTTTTGTAGTGGGAAGTGGGGCATGAGGGTGTGCGAGCAAAGCTTAAAAGCCTGCAAGGATATCCCTAAGATGACTGCATATTCTTGGTTCCTGTATTAGTGAACCTTAAACTGAAGTGAGGCCCCTGAAGGTGTGAGCCTCTCTGCCAGGTAAGCCAACTGAATAGCTAAGGAGCTTGGACCTGAATGCGAGTTTGAGCCCCAGCTGACATAATAGTATAAACACAGCCACAAAATCTAATTCCAAAGTTTAAAATGTCTCTTTTAGTTCAAAATTCTCCCCTGTGCTGCACAATCTTGACAAGAAAGGGTTAGTCCCTTCCTTTATTTGCTGGCTCTACTGCACAAGAGATTCAGTTGAGATCTTAGTACACTATTTGTTAAAAACAGAGAACATTTTACAGCCCTTCTGGCTGTAACTAATCCTCAACTGACCCATTCTTAAAAAAAAAAAAAGCACAGTAACAATTCCAATAGAAATACTTCAATACTTATGAGAACTGAGAGTTTTTACAAACTTGGTCACTGTAACTGCAAAACCAGTTAGACAAAAACCTTAAATATTTATTAAAATATATACATGTCTTTAGAGGAAGTCTCTATCTGTAATGCAAGAGCAAAGGCACATTTATGCTTTTATAAGTTTGGTGTACATATGCACTCTGCAGTTAAAAATTTTTGAAGGATGAAGGGACATTCATCCATACTTATGGTTATACGGCTTCACTGGGCTTGTAACACGCTCTTCACACTAGTATATACAAGGGGGTTGACACATCTGAAAACTGCACACTTGCAAGCAATTCTACTCTCAGGTCCCTGAGTCTGACGCCAAAAGTTCCACACTCTTAACCCCCCCCCCCTTTTCCCCCCCCTAATCTTCTTTAATGGCGCACC